TCCCCCAACAAGTATCGACAAACCCCTTGAGATGCTTGTAAGAATTTTGATTTGGAGCCCCAGTGAAAAATTCTCATTGCTCAAGTAGTGTAAGCATCACGTTGGTGATTTGGAAGTTGCCCGCCCTAATGTGGGGAGGGACTATAGCACTTGCATAACCCTCGTTCGGCAACACCCGATGCATTGCCGCTCTTGGTGGAGGCGGGGGAGGGACAGGAACATTATTATTAGGTGGTCGACCTCGCCTATTTTCTTGAGGTTCGGGAAGAACCTCATCTCCTTGACCATCATCCACATCCTTCACCAATGGCAAATTACCAATGGGCTCGTTGTTGAGAGCCATTATCGTACCTATAAGCAATTCAAAAACAAAATTAGTGACTCGGAAGGAAAAGAATACAAATCACACAAAAACCTAGATATATAGCTAAATGTGTTTAACTCCCCGGCAACGGCGCCAAAAATTGATGTCGTCCAAACTCACACCACAAATATAGGTAGTGAGGTGGTCGAAACAATAATAAAACTCAACGCAAGTCGGGGTCGAATCCTCAGGGAGTTAGAATTGGGATTAGGTATATATTTAGTGTAATTGTACAATATGCCTTAGATTACACTTCCACATTCTTGTTTGTTGTTTCTACTTCTACTTTAAACTATTGATTGTAATTATAAAACTAGAAGACAATATTTTTTGTTTTGGTTGTTTTTTAAATGATAAAATATCTAGGATCGTGACTTCCACCTAGGTGGTTACCTAATGGGTTGAATACTCTAGGACAATCCTGATTAGTCGGGGTTGTGATATAGCAATCGCACGCAATCACCCACTCTATACCTCTCGGTAGTTTGAGTGATTTTGCTCAATTTGGCTTTCTCAAGCCCAAGTGGGTATTGCACAAAATAAGTGATAAATGCTCAAGTCAGGTTTTACTATCTCTAGATTCAACCCTTTAATTGGGGCTATCAATTTCTTGAGTTCACCCCAATTTCTTGTTAGCCAAGTTTTCCTAGACTTAGTCTCTCTTTCTCAAGTAGATATTAAGTCAATTAGGCATGAATGAATATTTGCAACCATTAATTCTTAAATTCAAGCAAGAACTAGGCTAAATATCACTAACTCAATCACAAACAAGTCCTAAATCAAACACCCATAAAGTACCCACACTAGGGTTGGGCCATAACCCTAGCTAGAAATTTAGCTACTCATGAAAAATGAAGAAATATAAGAAGAAATTAAGATAGAATGCATAATAATTGATTAGGGAAAGAAAATCTAATGTTTAGAAGCTAATCAAATACAAAATTACTCAAAGCAGTAAAGAAAACGGCTCAGGTGCTCTCCCAAAACAAAACTTACCCTAAAAATGATAAAAAGTTCTATTTATACAAAGCTAAAAATATCTGACAAAAATGCCCCTGCGGAGGTTGTGCAGCCGCATAATTATGTGTGTGGTCCGCACAACGAGACTTGGCTTGACAGGTTCTAGTTCTGTGGCCGCACTCCTTCAACTACTGCGGACAGCACATTTGTGAGTGCGGCCGCACAATTATAGTGCGGTCCGCACTTCTTGATCTTAGGCTCTAACTGTGTGAGACTTCTGCGGACCACATAAAAATATGTGCGGCCGCGCTTTTAATTATGCGACCGCATAAAAATGGTGCGGTCCTCATTTCTTTTTGAACTTGAAATTCCATCTCTCTGATCTTTGTCTTCTGCGGACCGCATAATATTGAGTGCGGCCGCACAATTATGGTGCGGTCCGCACTCCTTCAGCTTTCCCAAAACCAGCTCTCTGAATATCTTCTTTTGCGGCTGCACAATATTTGTGCGGTGCGCATACTCAAAGGTAAGTTTTATAGAGTGGTGGTCAGACCGGTCATGTTGTATGGGACAGAGTGTTGGCCAGTTAATAACTTACCTATCTAGAAGATGAAAGTAGCAGAGATGAGGATGTTGAGGTGGATGTGCGAGCATACCAGGATGGATAAGATTAGGAATGAAGATATACGGGAGAAGATGGGTGTGGCCCCTATGGATGACAATATGCGGGAAGTAAGGCTTAGATGGTTCAGGCAAGTGCGTAGGAGAAGCCCAAATGCCCCGGTCAGGAGGTGTGAGCGGTTGGTCTTGGCGGGTTCGAGAAGAGGGAGAGGGTGGCCTAAGAAGTATTAGGGAGAAGTGATCAGGCGGGACATGGCGTGGCTTCAGATTTTCGAGGAGATGACCCTTGATAGGAAGGTGTGGAGGTCGAGCATTAGGGTGTTAGGATAGGAGGTAGCTGATAAAGTTCATCCATGGGGGAGGCTGGTCTGATAAGGTTGGGTCCTAGGCTGCTACCGATTATTGTTGTGTCTACACTATTCTTTTGTTTTTAATAGTATCGGGCTTTATTCATTGGTTTTTGTTATTATTTCTCATATGTTTTCTTGTTCTTATGCTGTTGTTATTGCTCATATGGTTCTGTTGATGGTAGTAACATTCTGTCTCTCTCTTGTCTCTCTTGTCTCTTTTCATTTTCTTGAGCCGAGGGTCTTTCGGAAACAACCTCTCTACCCTCCGGGATAAGGGTAAGGTTTGCGTACACTCTACCCTCCCCAGACCCCACTTGTGGGAACTCACTGGGTTGTTGTTGTTGTTGTTGCACCGGTGAAGAACCCCCGTTGCTCGAGCAAAGTGAGCATTATGTTGGTTATTTGAAAGTTGCCAGCCCTAATATGGGGTGGGACTATAGCACTTGCATACCCTTTATTCTGCAATACCCGTTGTGGAGCCGCTCGTGGAGGAGGTGGGGGTGGAACAGAAACATTATCGTGAGGCGGTTGGCCTCATCTATTGGCTTGAGGTTAAGAGGGACCTCATCCATTGCATCATTATCAATGTCCACATCCCCCACGGCTATGTTTCCGAGCTCATTGTTTGCCATGATTGCACCTATAATACTCACATGTTAGTAACAAGGAAGGAAAAGAAGATATTCCAAAAACATTCCTAAATATATAGCTAACACCGACTTTTAACTCCCCGCAACGGTGCCAAAAATTGATCTCGTCCAATTTCACTCCTCTATTTTAGGATATGAAAACGGTTGATGCAATAATAATACCCAACAGAGTCGGGGTCAAATTTCACTGAGAGTTATGCGAATGGGTGCTAGTAGTATATATCTTAGTGCGTGAAATTGTATATCTTGATTTGCACTTCCAGAATATTGGGTTTTGTTTGCAAATCCAACTTAAACTACTATTGCGATTTTAAGAACGAAACTAGTAAATTATTTTTGGTTGTTTTTCAAATGATAAAAGGCCTAGGGCTATGACCTTCATCTAGGTGTTCGCTTAATGGGTTGTAAGTCTTAAAGCTTGTTTTATTGGATGGAGTGTATTATAGCTATCAACACTCAAGTACCCACTCAAGTACCCACTCAATACCTCTCGATCAAAGAGTGATTTTGCCCAATTTGGTTTTCTCAAATCCAAATGGGTATTAAATAAAGAAGTTGATAATAAGCTCAAGTCGGGTTTTACTATCTCTAGGTTCAACCCTTTAATTAGGCTTATCAATCTCTCGATTGACCCAATTTCTTGGTAGCCAAGTTTTCCTAGACTAAGTCTCTCTTTCTCAAGTAGAGACCAAGTCAAATAGGCATGAAATAATGTTTGCAACCATTAAGTCTTCAAATAAAAGCAAGAACAAGGCTAGATAATCAACACCCAACCATAAACAAGCAATAAATCAAACACTCATTAAGTTTACACACTAGGGTTGGATCACAACCCTAGTGAAAATCTAGCTACTCATGCTTAAATTAGAAGAAAAAAGAAGAAAAAGCGATAATTAAACCCATAATAATAATAATAATTAAGATGATAAAAGTAATATTAAAAAATCTCAAAATAACAAAAACTACTAAAAGAAGCAAAGTAAAACGTCTAGAGTGGCTGCTGATGTCAAAAATTAACCTAAAAAGTGAATCTCTTCTATTTATACAGTGCTGGAATTTTCAGACAAAAATGCCTTTGCGGAGGTTAAGCTTCATGTTATGCTTCCTTAGGATGTCAAAAGTTTCTTGCAAATGCTTAAGATGATCACCTGCGTTCAAAGACTTAACAAGCATATCGTCTATATAAACTTCCATGGTTTTCCCTATTTGTTTTTCAAACATCTTGTTTTACGAGTCGTTGATAAATGGCTACGGCGTTCTTTAGCCCAAAGGGCATCGCATTATAGCAATATGTGCTGAAATTCGTTATGAACGAAGTCTTTTCCTGATCCTCTGGGTTCATCTTAATTTGGTTGTACCCGGAATAAGCATCGAATAAACTCATTAACTCGTGCTCGGCCGTCATATCAATCATTTGATCGATGTTTGGCAGTGGGAACGAGTCTTTTGGGCACGCCTTATTCAAGTCTTTATAATCTACACGCATACGAAATTTATTTTTCTTCTTATAAACTACTATTACAATAGCTAGTCAGTCTGGATACTTTACCTCTCGGATCGAACCGATATCAAGTAGGCGAGTTACCTCTTCTTTGACAAATTTATTCCTCGCCTCCGCAATAGGGCGTTTCTTTTGTCTTACCTGCGGGATGTTGGGATCCAAGCTTAGCTTGTTTACGGCCACTTCCGTTGAGATACCAGTCATATCCGCATGCGACCACACAAAATAATTGGCGTTATATTTAAGAAATTCAATCAAGCTAGACCTGAGCTCGGGGTGTAGTCTTGTCCCTAAGTGGAATTTCCTTTCTAAGAACTTTTCAAACAATGCAACTTGCTCGAGCTCCTCCGCTGTGGATTTTGTTGCATCCGTTTCTTCTGGTACCTGGAAATATCTCGACACCTGATAAGATTTCGACGCTTCTTCCCCCTAGCTAACTTCACTCGATTAGGGAGCAGGCGTCGGTTCTTGTAATTGCTATGTCGCATGCTCCTTCCCTTTACTACTGGACGCCGAAATCGCATTTATCTCCCTTGCTGCCGGTTGGTCGCCTCTTATCTATTTGATTCCTTGAATTTCAGCAACTGATGGTATGTTGATGGTACGGCTCTCATCTCGTATAACCACGGACTTCCCAAAATAATATTATAACCAATGTCACCGTCCACCACTTCGAAAAGAGTCGTCTTCATCACCTCTTCGGCGCTATTGGGCAGCAAGATCTCTCCCCGGGTTGTCACGCTTGTGAGGTTAAATCCGGCGAGGAGTTTTGTGGCCGGAATGATGCTTCTGTTGAGTTTGTCTTGCTCCAATACCCTCCATTGTATGATATTGGCCGAACTTTCTGGATCTACCAGAACACATTTGAGTTTAAAATCTAACACATTTAAAGAAATTACCAAAGCGTCATTGTGCGGTAGCAACAGTCCATCTGCATCCTCCTTTGTGAAAATAATGTCGTCTTCATCGACTTCCTGGAGTCTCTTGATATGTGTTATTGATACCTTCATCTTTTTTGCTGCCGATTAGGTGACCCCGTTGATCTCGTTCCCCCCGAAGATCATGTTGATCGTCTGGCGCTGGGGATCTTTTCCTGCTTTCAAGGGCTCGGCATTATCACGGTTGCGACCATAATTATTCTTGGACCGGTCACTTAAGAATTCCCTAAGATGGCCATTTTTCAATAGTGTCGCCACTTTTTCACGCAAATGTCGGCAGTCCCCAGTCCGGTGGCCATTCGTCCCGTGGTACTCGCACCACAAATTGGGATCCCTCTGGCTGGGATCGAACCTCATCGGTTTTGGGAACCATGCTTCTTTACTGTTTCTCATAGCTAATACCAACTCCACTACACTGACGTTGAAATTGTATTCTGATAGCTTGGGGTAGGAAGGATCCCGTGTACCTGACGCTTCTTTGTCCTGTAAGGATCTGTTGCTCCGACCGCGATCAGTTCTTCTGTCAGTAATGAACCTGTCTGCCGACTAGAAACCTCTGCCGCGTCCTTCGTTCCATTTGTAGGGCAAAAACCACCCCCTCGAATACCGTATATCTTTGTCGAAATCGTCTTTTGATTTTTCCTTATTCTTCTCCCGTCCTTTTGTCGACGATGGGAAGCCAATCTTATCGTTTTAAATCCTTATCTTAGACTCATACCGGTTGTGGACATCTGCCCAAGTTGTCGCTTGGAACTCAAGCAAGCTTTCCTTCAATTCTAGGAAGCATCAGAACTTCTCGGATTCAAACCCTTGGTGTTTCAGCCGCCCATTCATCCGGAACAGCCGGGAGCAACATCCTCTCCTTTTGGAACCAGGTGACGAATCCATGCAGTAACTCGGACTCTCCTTGTGCAATTCTACATACGTCAGCCTTTCGGGCCTGTACCTTCCTGGCCCCGACATGGGCCTTAATAATAGAGTCCGCGAGCATCTCAAAGGAATCTATGGAATGCCCGGGTAAAAGCGAATACCACATCAAGGCTCCCATCGTGAGAGTCTCTCCAAATTTCTTTAGCAAAATAGATTCAATCTCATGGGGAGCTAGATCATTCCCCTTCACCGCTATCATATAGATGGTAATATGCTCTTGAGGGTCTGAAGTTCTATCATACTTCGGCACGGCGGGCATTTTAAACCGCTTCGGGATTAATTCTGGTGTCGCGCTAGGTTTATATGGCAACTGAGTATACTTCTTTAAGTCCAGCCCTTTCAACACCGGTGATGCACTCGGGATCTAGTCAATGCAGACGTTCACTTCCCTCATAAACCGTAAGAGTTCGTTCTTGAAGGGATCGTTCTTGTTGTAGGGGCCAGATCCGCTCCCCCAGCCCTATCGGAGCCAACCACGACCCTCGGAGTATTGTTGTCTACCCTCTGCGTTGTTTGATTCACGGGAGCACCGGGAGGAATTAGACCTCGTCCATTCGCGTTATTGGAAGCCCTCGAAAACGCCTGCTTCAATTCCGCCATAACCTTATCCTGCCGAGTGAGATGGACTAGAATGACTGTTTGTTGCTCTTGCAGGACCCTTACCGCTTCAACAACATGCTCCTCTTCAGCATCATCGGGAGTCACCTCCCGAACATATCGCGGGTACCTCCTGTCGTGGACCGGCGTAGCGTCATTTTCCTCAGTGCGGGTGCCGCTGACTGAATCCTCGTGGTGAAGCTGGTCTCCTTAGGCCTCAAGATTGTGTATGTTGTTAACACCATTATCTGCCATTTTTTGTTATTTTTTGCTAAGACAAATAATCAAAGCGCGTTAGTAAAAGAGGCATAGATCAACTTAATTACATGGTTGTCTAGGCCCCTACGGTGGGCGCCAAATATTTATCCGTAAAATGGTGCAGTTAAATTTATACGTGGTTTCTAGACAAGTGAATTAATTCGATCCCGAAATAATAAAGTAATTGAAAAATATGCAATACTTAGCCTTGAAATGGAGATAAAATAGCAGAAACGGTAATTCCGAGAGCAGGACTTCTGGGCACAATAACAATGAAATCCAGAAGTAAGAAGATAAAATTATATAAAACTTTGAATTGATTATAGCATAAGGTTGCCAGAAAATTCGTGTCATTTACAATGATAATAGAGCTCACTATTTATAGTTGCACATAGAGAACAAGGTCCTAGGATCATGCCCTTCTTTAATGTCAATTATGAGGGTCATTGAAGAATGTGTAACGGTGAGCATAAATGACAAGTTCTTTGTAACGGGCAGTGTGCTAAATCCTGTGAAATATTCTCCATTAAATGCTATTGGGCAGCAGGTATTTATTGCATCTTTATGAGCGTCATTCTTTCCGGTGACAAATGGAATAATTGTCTTCGGATTTAACTATCCTCCGTCTTCGGCTCCACGTGTCATTCTCTTATGCAACCACTTATCATGGTATATTTTACCCTATACAGTGGTATCACACCTCTTGGGGTGCGACCCTTCCCGAATCCTGCGTAAACGCGGGATGCTTTGTGAATCGGGCTGCCTTTTATAATTGTCATATCCGATCAATATGAAAGCACATTTGATATTTCAATGTATATTGCTTCCCCCATCAGGTATAGGTAATTTTGCTAAGCTTAAATATATATAGAGAGAGAAATAAATCACTTAATATTTTGTCTATGTTGAAATTTGAACTATAATATGTAAGGTTTACATCTATTTTATAGAATGCTAACCATCGTTGGATAGTTAGTTGGATGTTTGATGCTGCTTATTTTCTATGAGATATGTGAATATGTTTCATATTCAATTTTAATATCAAATCAGATACAACGGTTTACTTAGAAAGATAAATATTTGCATGAATATAATAACGTATCGAATCTGAATTTGCTGCCCTCAGAATTGTAGGTTTGCGCAGTAAGAATTACAAATTACAAATTAAAAAGAAGATCTTTTATATGTTCCGCCGACAAAGATTATTCAACATGTTTATCATTTATTGATTTGATCCAAAGTCGAATATGACTATAAGAATATGTGTTTTATGGTTTTGGTCGTTATAAGAGGAAGGCATTTAGTGTTTACAAAAAAAAAAAAAAAAAAAAAAAAAAAAAAAAAAAAAAAAAAAAAAAAAAAGAAGGTAAACGACAAAGGGAATTCTTAATCAGGTCAAGTAACCACACCTAGATATTATAATGTGTATGGACTATGCTACACATTTCAGTGACTTACTGCTACTGATACTGTTGGTTCTTTCCTTATTTTCTATTAATCTCGTAATATTAAGAAATTAAAAGAAAAAAGTGGGTGTAAAGGTTAAAACCGCATGTGTCAATCGCAACATTATTCTGACCCACCATTTCCTTTGTCGGCAATATACAGTCGAAGAAATATGACGAGAGCAAGCACTTCTTTTTTTTCCACGGCGATGTTTTTATAAAATAAAAATAAAGAAAATACCAGCTGAGTTTGAATTATGTTAGTCCGTAGCTTTAACGAGGTGTTAGATCAATTTGTCATTACAGTTAATGTATTTTATTCATCTGTATTAGTACTACATCTATTAAATGAAAAAAAAAAAAGTTTCACTAAGTTACTACTCCATGTCAATTTGAATGAGGAAATTAATTGAACTTAAAAACTGTTCAAACGTACGTTAAACGACTTTTATATGAAATGTTGACCTTTTCTTTTGAATAGTTTAGCAAACAAAAATTGTAAAAAGAAAAAAAGTTTTATTAACGAGTAAATTTCATGCGTGGTCATTCAACTTTGTGTTTGTTACCCAAAAATCACTTTTCTTTCTTTTGTTACGTAAGTCATTCAACTTTGTATTTATTATCCAAAAGTCATTTTTCTTTCTTTTGTTATACAAAAATCATTTTACTATGCTCTAGTTATCACAATAATCACTTTGACCATATTTTACAAATCTTTCACATGAAAAGTCTATTATGCCCTTGACATTATAAATCCTCTCATTTATGTATTACCTTCTATATTATATGTTAATTTTTACCCACTGATTTTTCTTATAATTAAAATAACTTAATATAATTTTATTTATTATTTTATAATATATTCGTAAATTTAATTTTTTTTAATATTAATTTTCAAGATATATAAGTAGCATTATTAAATTTGTCAGTAACAAATCTCAACTCCACAATCTTAATCATGCTTAATAAAATATGTTTAATAAAAATTAAAAAATCAAAGTTCAATGATTTATTAGCCAAACCATACCCAATATTAAAGACAAATATCTTTGAAACTTCTTTTAAAATTTCTATTGACTATAAAAGAACTATGATTTGTTAAACAAATATGTTTCTATTATTTTAAATAAATATTAAAAATAAATATTTTTTAATCATTTTTATACTTAAAATATGTTCATGTTTGAATATGATTAAATAAATTAAGTGCCATAAAAAATTAGATGTATGGATATATTATAAAAATAATAAATAAATTAATTTAAAGTATTTTTAATTATAAGTAAAATACCTAGGTAAAAATATATTATATAGTATATAATATAGAAGGTATTACATAAATGAGAGGATTTATATTGTCAAGGACATAATAGACTTTTTAAGTAAAAATATTATAAAATCTTGCCAAGTTAACTTTTTTGATAGATAGAGCAGAGTAAAATAATTTTTGTATAACAAAAGAAAGAAAAATGACTTTTGAGTAATAAATACAAAGTTGAATGATTTTTACGTAACAAAAAGAAGAAAAGTGACTTATGTTTAATGAACACAAAGTTGAATGACCACCCATGAAATTTACTCCTTCATTAACTGATGATTCAGTGAATCCGGTTATTGTCAATATCATGTTTGGACCGATTCACCAAAACAACAACAACGACCCAGTGAAATCTCACGAGTGGGGTCTGGGGAGGGTAGTGTGTACGTAGACCTTACCCCTACCGCGAGGGGTGGAGAGGCTGTTTCCGTAAGACCCTCGGCTCAGGAAGACGAAAACAAGACGAAAAGAGACAATATATCAGTATCATTAATAGAAACCATAGAAAAAAATAACAGCATCAC